CTTCATAATAAAACAACAGCGTGCCTGGATAACGCTACATGGATTCGTTATTGTTATTATTAATGAAAATGTATTATCGTAGTTTATTGAGCAGCCAATCTGTTCTGTTCATATTTGTAATAGATGTGTGGTTGACTATCTATATAGGGTGTCTTAAAAAATCCAGAAGCTGAATTTGTTTGTATAGAAATACTAACGACAGTGACATTTTTAAACATCCCTTTATTTAAAATAAACGTACATAAATAGGGGTTTGATACCTCAGAGCTTAAGTTTTGCTTTAAATTTGTGCTACTAGACAGTTTGAATGTGCATTTTGTTTGTTGATTGTTTTAATATACAAATGTGAAAATGCAGAGCGTCCATTAGTTAAGCTAAGCACAAGATACATGGAAAAATTACATTATTTATAAACAAAGGCCTTTCTCCTTTATTCTGTACTGTTAGTACTAAACTATTTGAATTCTTGGGTTCCTGTCAACAGTAACATTTTTTGATTATCTCATGTATGTTTCAGCTATTATGTCATATTCAGGTACGTATAAATTTCTAGAGAAGATATAATAAGTGTCAAAACATTATGCAGACAAACGAACATGTTAAAATTTAACTTTTACTCTATATAAGCAATAGAATTTGCGTTCTGATGAGTTTATCTCTCCACTGCAAATAAATAAACATACTACTCTGCTGCTTGGCGAGAAACTGTCATTATTTTTAAGGACACCTCAAAATACAACGATGTAAAAAGACAAAAAAGAGTGACAAATACTATTATTTTGGACTTTTGGTGGTAAAAACTTACAACCCTGTTCATAAAATAAGATTTCTAAGACGGCGTCTATCGGTTCAAAAATTCATATTCCTATCATTTTATCTTTGTGTAAGCGGTCCGCATAGTAGTATCAGGTTTATGCGTGATATGAATATAATGTTGAGAAAGTATCTTGCTGATATTTTTTATTATGATTCCTGTTTAAGTTTTGGCTACGGTTATAAGTTGCATGAATCCCTTTTATATAAAATATGTCTTAAAATGTTTCCTTGCCGAGATACTGGTAGCTTTGTTTGGAGACAGATATTGGATATTTTTAAAAAATCTGCTTTTTTTGGGATACCCGTCAAAATGGAACAACAAACTTCACTAATCCTAGCACACTTTCAACGCACAGACTGGGTACTTCCGTTAATGGAACAGAAATTTCCGTCCGCTGATTTATAATTCCTGAATCTCACACTCTTATCCACGCATAAATAGACTCAAATTCGAAAGTCTAGAGATGTGATTCTCACGATCTGGGCAGAAAATTTATGGATCCGAAACAAGAAGTTAGCTGCTTACCGAATTATTTTTGCAATATAATGTGGTTTCACGGGCTGTGCTGCAAGCAGTGCCTCGCTGTCTTATGGAAACCAAATTATCTAAAGATTTCGGACCTGTATTTCAGCCAGCAAACAGTGGCACGGTAACATTCGCCAAATAATATTCGAAGTGTTTGGACATGTAATTGAGCTTTGGAAGCCCAGAAAGGATTACCTTATCTACACTAACAGTCTACAAAACAAGTTCAAACATTTAATGTCGAGAACACTATTTTCTAGTTAATAAAGTTAATCCGATAAACTTGATTGGTTTTATATGTTATTCTTTTTAAAAAAGTACCTCCAAATGAAGCATCCGTTACCAAATTTTAATTTGAAACCTTTATCTTCTGCAAAGATACATACTGGAGCAGCCTGTTTATTCTGCATACCCTCTCTCTCCCACAAATACAGCTAGTATTCGTTGAATCCATCACAAATAAAAAATGTATTCAGATAAAAAATAATAGCTTTAACAAGATATCAACTTTTAATACAATTTTATACTGTGAGATCATTTCGTAAATATTAATTTTAACTAGTACCATGAAGTACTGTTGTTCTATTTGAGACACCCTGCATAGTAGTTTTGCTATTCAATTGTCTTCAACACTTGTTCTGTATGCTGAATATGTATGTGGATACCGGCAGGGCTAACTTGAAAAGTGACATTATGTTGGTTTTTTGACATTATGTAGGGTTTTTATGGCATTATTCAGGTTTTTCTACTAGTCGATCAATTGGAACTAGCTGTCGTGGACTTTATGTTCACTTGTAGCAAGCGCGAAATGAACTATTTGCACACTAGCCTACTAAATCAACAAGTTGTCATTTTATCGCTTTTTTGACATTATATAGGTTTTTTGCAGTACTAACCCCGCGGCAAAGCTAGTTGACGTCTTGTAGGAAAACCTACATAATGTTAAAAAAACGACATGTCAAAAAAATTACATAATATCACTTTTCAAGTTACGTCATACCACTGCGGTACCCGCATTACGTAACTTAAAAAGTGGCAGCATACCGACTTTTTATATTATGTACATTTTTTTGACACTATGGAGGTTTTCCAGTAAAATGACACCTTTGACCTACCTGACATTCACTTCAGACTCACTTGTAGAAGGCGTAGAAAAACTAGCAGCCCATTAGCGACTATCTAGTGCACAAGCCGACATTTTACCGATTTTTTGACATTATGTTTACGTTACCACCCTGCGGGTTTCGTATACTAGTGCTGCGATAGTGCATCAGTTAAACATGTACTCGTATGTTTAGAATGTGAAGCGATGATGAATACAGATTTGTAATATTAACTAGGTACTCGTATAGTCGAAATCACGAAAGATGACGATTACGACATCATTTTAGTCTGTAGTAAAGACAAACGACAGCGATTTGTGAATACTTTTAATGAAGTTTCTGTTATGTTAGACAGAGACAAATATAATGTTATTGTCTAAACAAACTGTACTGCTAACTTTCATGTATCCGACAGAGATAAACGATGTTTTCATGTTGCATGTCATATTTGAAATATGAATAGTTAGGTTATGTTAAATCAGGTTAGGTTGTTATCGAATAATTTTAGTCTTTGGCGTTCCTGTCTTAAGGTATTCTACATATACCTGTTTTTTTTTCAACAAAAACTTCCCACTAAAATTATTATTGAGGTATCACTCAAAACCATGAAATGAAATGAAAATAAAAATAATTCGAGAAATAATCTGACTTCGCAAAATCATAATATAAACTTGTTGTCATTATGTTCCTGAAATCGTGATTTTATCATCGACGTAAGTATAATTATTTATGGTATGAGGTAATAGTCATCATTCGTGATTTTGACTATAGCTTAGATCCACAACGCCACAGCCTCAGGAAACCGCAATATTTATAACTACGTGGTCTCAGTAACAGAACTTTGGATACATGGTATATCTAGGTGCATTTCAAGGCGAAACTATGGCTAAAAAATAATGAACATAGTCCAATGCTGCGGTTCGAAACAACGAGTATTATTTTATCACGTCGGGACTGGTTCCATTGGCTGAAGTTCGACATGTACCCTAATTATTTTCTAAGAGATGACATTGGAGAGTTAGTGCAAACATAACTACATGTTACTAGAACTAAGCGACATAATTTCCAAGTGTCAGGTGTCGGCAAACATATTTTTCTATGTCGACAAGGTCGCAAATTGGCCTCCGAAATCTCAAGTTTAAACCGCAGTATGTTCAGACACGTTTTAATAAAACTGCGATCTGCGACTGACGGTTGCCCAATAAACGGTCGTGATAAATTCACAAATTTGACGTTCGTGGAGCAGCAGCCGCCGTCACAGGAAGTATAGACAGTGTACGGGGTACGGAGGAAAATTCGAATCGTGATTGATTCACTTTAGTTATTTTTAACGGTGTTATGGTAATAAACAAACCAGTCAGTCAGCACGGAAGAACATATATAGACTCACTTGCTTAGATAGAATACCCACTACATTCCGAAATCATCGAATATCAAATCAGTCACTAAACTGCACTGATAAGATAGATCTATACATTTAGTAATGGATACAGATATAAATGCTCACAAGATGTGTATCTACGAAGAGATAATAAAATAATGAGATTTTAAGCATTTAGTGCTTTTCAGAAACGTCCTGCTCAAGTTTTTGTTTGAATGACTTAAGTTAGGAAGCCGACAAGGCTAATGAAATTGATGCATAATAATAACAGTTAAGTTTTTACACAGAATGAGGGGTTAAGATGTGATAGCTCACTTTGTACCTCCTTATGGGTACTTCATAGCCCTCAAATATAAAATCATCATCGTCCGGAATCTTGGATTAGCAGGCAGTCAAAGTTGCACGTTCTTATACATTCGCTTATAAAATATGGGTTATTAAGTTGAAATAAAAATTTGATATAATATACGCGTTTTGATGATTGGTGGTAGAGTTTCATGTGTCTCATTCTATTCGAATGTTTGTCAGTCCACGAATTTTAAAGATAGTTATTTTACTTTACAGGGTCATACTCATAAAGAGGTATCGCGTACATCTCCTCATTCTATTTAGAAAAATGTGCCCATCCCAGCCATCATCATAGAATCTTCTAGTCCCCACCTTAATGCTATAATATCGTATTGATGCGTCAGTTTTACCGAAGGTACTTTTGTTGCTGGACCTACAACCATCAAAAGTGTCATTAAGTTTTTTTAACACTTCTGTGACAAGATTTTGTAAGACAACTTTATTTGTATACAATACAATTTATAAAGTTATATTTCGACGAAATTTAATATAAGTAGTCAAAAGTGCTAATGAAAATTGTGTCTGAACTGTAGGCTTTGTTCCTCTGACAGCATAGTGATACTCGTACACTAATGGATCTAAAACTATTTTCTCCGATTAGGGATCTACTTGTTTTTGAAAATCTAGGAGCAGATTCAACCATTGATTCCGGAAAATTATGTGGATACATTGCGCTGAGTGAAAATATGTAACTTTCCAGAAAATGAACGGGAGTTTTGTAATCATAGAGTTTTGGGAAGAATTTAATTTTTTTGCAAATTTTATTGGATACCTTTAGACTAATATTCTAAAACAACAGATGATAAACACCAAGTAATCTACTCACCTTTATAGTTTTCATTTTCAAACTTCTTCCACTCCCTGTGTCGTCTCAATTCCTCGTTTCAGCTAAGCTCTGCAACAAACAGAATGCTGAAATGAATTTAATGTACGCAGCTCATAATTTTCTAGAGAATTTAATCCCAGCAGAATTCGCGTCTCGCTGACAATCGAACGCTGATTTTAATATTGCGCGACAAATTCCTAGCAACTTGATGTTCATGTACGAGTATGTGCAGGAAAAGAGGATATTAAGCTTGATGATCGTTCCTTTGCTGAAGTTGAATCTCGGAGAAATTGACTGCAAAGACGTATTAATCTGTTATCAATGCTGAAAATTTGAAGCCCCCCTTGAAGGTAGAGAATTTCGGATCAAAATTAATAACGTTCTGTCGACAACAGGCCAGTATGGACCATTGTTCCTGAGGGTTTGGTCATAAGACCAATTTTACTCGCTGCTCGTCCATGGCCTCATTTGCCTCAGTAGGTGCTGATGACACTGCATTGGTGGCTCAGTCGAGTTCCGAGAATCTGGGTCTCGACAAGACGCAAAGTGCGGCGAATGAAGTATTGGAATGGGCAGATCGGTGGCCCATCAAAATCAATCATTCGAGGTTTTAGTGAACGGAGCTCGCGTACTATATTAAAAACCTGCCAAGTATGTATCTTGGCCTTGACACGGAAGAGACCTGGCAGAACCACACTGAAGCGTTGAAAGGAAATTCCAAATTGAGTTTGATCAACAAAACTCGGCTCTAAAAGATGGTTATTAGACAAGCAGTAACTTACGCATGTGTGGCTTGGTGTCTTTTTCACATATATACAGGGTGACCCCAAAGTAGAGAGTTTCTTTTACACGGCGTATCGATCTCGGAAAAATAAGTCTTTTTATAGTAACATATATACCAGTCTTAAGATTACTGAGATGTTAGGCTCCACAAAATCATTGAAACCTAAACAAAACGTAATTGGGCACTGACATGGATCCAGTACTTCATCCAGGTGCTGGCCACGATTGTAAACAAAACTACAAAACGTGTACACATCGGTTCTGAAAGAATGGCGTACTCTTACCGTAGTGGTGGGGTTGTCCATATATAAGACAACGCAAAGCGCCATCTATCACCAAAATTCATCACTGCGGAGAGTACATAGCAGCTATTTGTTGGAACTGTAAAGACCTCAGTTTGCGTTTAATGGCCCAGCCATTGATCAAACTAAACAAGATGCCGACCAAAAGACAGCCAATCATGGGTAGCTATCTTGTACTTTTTGGCTACTCCTCAGCATAGTCTAGGCTTGGTCTCTCGTCTCTGGACAACGGACAAAAGAATCGCAATTGCCCTCTCTGTAGGAGCTATGGTCTATCGGAATAAGTCAGCACAAAGCGCCATCTAATCTGTTATCGAGACTTCTGCAATGTTCCATTATGTATGGTAGTGCATAACGAAAACTGATCTTTTCACCTTAATGAAAAACGTCTCCGTAATCTACTATTTAGTAATGACTTAGACCTCAGAATCTAGGTCCACTAAATGGATGTTTGACATTTTTAGGGACTCGCTTTTGCGATACTGTATATTAAAAAGAAGGATTTGTGTCCTTTTGATTTTAGATTGTTTTTATATTTTTTTATTTTAATTCTATAGTTATGTATGTTTATAATATACCAATAAGGCCAGTGCCACCTATATGGTCTCCTAAATGGCATTGTGGCTTGCCCTAAACGAGCATATAGCTACAGCGCTATTCAATGACCATCTCAGAGAAACTTGCCTTTTCAAAGTGGATCTACGATCGCGGAGAAGAGAGTCATAGCTGTGACAAATTCTCATAAGAGGACGGTTTTTCAGTGCATCTCGGATTATCTTTGAACGCGAATATCGGAAAGGAAGTCCGATGGCAGCCCATAGGACAGAAGTACAGGGTGCATCATCTATTACTTTTTTCTATTTGAAAAATCAACACGTTGTTTACGAGGCGAAATCGAATTTTTTAATTCTGAAGGTTGGTTTATGCCATTTATGAATGAAAAATAACATCAGTCATGTGACCACCGCGGCTCCGTTTACAGACCAACTACAGAACATCAAAATTGTCAATGACTTTTCCCAGAATAATCGGGTCTATGGCCGCAATTTCAGTCCGAATGTTGCGCTTTAGGTCTTGAATTGTCCGCGGACCATTCTCATACACTTTTTCTTCCAAACATCCGCAAAGAAAATAGTCAAGAGGTGTTAAATCGCATGATCTCGGGGGCCAACTGACATCTGAATTTCGTGAAATTATGCGGTCTTTAAATTTCGTGTGCAAAAAGGCGATTGTTTGACGAGATGTGTGAGCCGTTGCTCCGTCTTGATGAAACTAAAGATCGTCGGCACCAATTCGATCCAATTGTGGCCACAAAAAGTCTGTTAACATGCCGCGATAACGTTCCCCGTTGACGGTAATGGCCTTTTCTTCGACATCTTCAAAGAAGAATGGTCCAACGATGCCACCAGCCCATAATCCGCACCAAACACTCACTTTTTCAGGATAGAGAGGATTTTCGCGATATTGGTGTGCATTTTCAGTACCCCAGAATCTGCAATTTTGTTTATTTACGTACCCATTGAGGAGAAAATGAACCTCATCAGAAAGGCGCACTTTGGCCGAAAATCCGTCTTCCCTTTCCAGCATCCAATTAACAAAAACACGCTGCTGTTGATGGTCTGCCGGCTTCAATTCCTGTTAGTTGGATCTTGTATGGATGGAGGTGTAAATCAATGAGTAAAATACGGCGTAAAGTGGTCTCACTAATTCCAAATTGTTGCGAACGGTGCCTAGTCGAGGAGGTTGGATCTTCTCGCACACTTTCACTCACCGCGGCTATGTTTTCACGAGTACGAGCTGGACGAGCATGTTGGTATGGTCTACGACCTTCAGCTGAACCAGTTTACTCAAAGCGATTAACAATCCAACGAATTACAGGCCCTTTAGGACGTCCATGTCGGCCAAAACTAGTGCGAAGTTTGAGAAAAATATTTTTTATATTCCGACCGTTTCCGTAATAAGTTTGGATAACCAAAATGCGTTGTTGTGTTGTAAACGAATCCCTGACTATAAATGGCATACCTTTGACAGTTCATTTATGCGTACCACATGACTTTTGACTCACATAGTAACACGTAAACTTATAGGTAAAAAAAAGTTATAGATGGCGCACCCAGTATAAGTTTGAGTCACATTCAAGGTAGAAGGAGGGATGATAGTTAAGCTAGTAATTGTGACTCTTCAAGGATTGATTTAATGCTAAATTAAATGATATACTTGGTCTGTGTTGTACATGCATTCCAGATTAAAACCAACAGAAGGAGTCTGAAATAATGTTTTTGTAACCCATAGCGAGGAACCATACAAATAAGTGTAGGTTGTATTGACGAAAATTGTTGAAAACAGTAATGCATGGATGCTTACGCCGCTTCCTGATTCCCCTGTTAATACATGTCCTTGTTGCAGGAAAGCATTCCAACAGTGTAGTATAAACAGCCAACACAGAGAACGGAGGTGCAGTCAATTGTCAGCTAATCGTCAATGGGACACTGAGATTGGTTAGAGTGGCAGCTAGGGTAAAGAAGCTTATTGATTAATGTCAATGCCATTCGTTGCTGTACTGCTGAATGCATGAACGCCTATGGAACTCCCTAATTATAGTCATGTGTATGTGTGTGTGTGTGTGTTCGTAGAACCAATGTGATGTGACAGGGGTTAAACGGACTCAAAACTATGTAATTGCGGTTGTCTTGAAGAAGTACTAGCTCCCGTTTTTTATATATACTCAGTGACACTAGAAGTGTTACACCCAGAAAAAACAATTTCTTCAATTTGTTTTTATGACAACATAATGACTATATTTAAAGCGTGATGTGGCAACAATGTCAACGTTTTATCTTTGTTTTTGTTTACCTTTATCAAAATGCTATCTCTTAGGTTTTGTGAAGAAAGTAGTTTCTGGGAACTGAATAGTACAGATATTTTTAGTTATTGGCCTTTCATTTACTAGTTTTAAGCATAACAAAATGCCTCGAGTTCGAAAACGTCCAAATTATCACCATGTTAGTGACTTTTACAGGGGTAGAATTAGTGCCTATCGAGATGGTTTGTCCTGTCGAGAAATTGGCCGCCGTGTTAATAGTACTGCAATGACGATAATGCGTGTTTGGATAGAAGCAGGCAGAGGAACACGAAGAAGGGCGACTGGTCCACCGAGGCGTACTACAGAGCCTCAAGATAGGCGATTCAGACAACTAGCCCTACTAGACCCTTTTGCTACTGTTCGTCATTATTGGTCAGAGCGGTCCGGTGGACCTTTGCTCTTATTTAAAAGTCTCGTCGATCTGTTAGTCTGTCAGGTCTGGCTACTTAGCTATCAGACATGTTTAAGGGGAAAAGGGAAAGAAGGAAAGAAAGGAAGGAAGAAATAGAGCAAAGAAAACAAGTAAACCATTTGAAATAGCTTAAGCATTGCTTTGACTACTCGAATTTTTGTAACTCCAAATAATAATTTTGATCGGTTTTGTATACTGAAATAATTTTGGCTGGTCTGAATTTACAATTTAATTTTGATCACAGTGCGAGACTCGGCCTGGAATGTTTGCGAACTTGCTCGACTGGGTAGTCTACTGAATCACACAACAGAGGGTTGCTGTGCGATTCCGCTTGATTATAACACCGCTGCGCCTGTTGTTGTACGTAATCCCTTAGATATGGGATATCAAGATCTCTGTGAATGGTCTCATTTGACACGTACCAAGGGGCGTTAGTAATTGTGCGTAGGGTTCTGTTTTGCAGGACTTGCAGTCTCTGCATGTGCGTCTTGGCAAGAAAACACCAAGCCGCGCATGCGTAGGTGATTGCGGGTCTTATGGCCATTTTACACAACCGAATCTTGTTGATCAAACTTAATTTTGAATTTCTGCACAACAAAGGATAAAGCTCCCGAAATGTAATTTGGAATTTTGTTTTCAAAATATCAGTATGTTTCTGCCAGGTCAACCCCTTGTCAATGATCCCTCCAAGATACCTGATAGATTGCTCCCATGGTATACGAGTTCCATTCACTGATATCTCTGAGGGGGGCCCGCGACGTTTTTTAGTACAATAGATTACCTGCCTGACTTCCTCCACCGCACTCTGCAGCCTATCGTAAACCAGGTTACCAGAACAAGATGGGCTAGCAATGCAGTGTCTTCAGCATAGAGATAGACTTCACAGTTGCTGGGACAAGGGACGTCATGTATATAAAGTGAATAAGGTATTGGTCCTAAGACCGAACCCTGAGGAACACCGGCTCTTACGGACCGTGTTGTTGACAAAACATTGTTAATTTTGATCCAAAATTTCCTTCCTCCTAGAAAAAATTTCAACAGTTTTAGTAGCCAAAATGGAAAACCCTTTTGGATGAGCTTATACAAGAGGCTCATGTGCCACATCTTGTCAAATGCCTTTGATCCATCTAAAAGCAAGATACCAGTACTTTTATTCAGGGTGAACCCCCTGGTTACATGCTCCACCAGTCTAACTGCCTGTAGCTCCGTACTATACTCAGACCGAATTGCTCGTCAGGAATCACATGGTGATCCGACGAGAAATTCTCAAGGTGACGATAAATCACCTTTTCAGAGAGCTTAGAAGGAGGTGACAGCAGACTAATGGGACGCTAATCCTGAGGATAATGAGTTCTCAGCATTGCATTGATTATTGCTATCAGATAAGTCAAAGGCTTGAGCGAAAGCAACTTCAGTGCTTTCTTGGTGATTTGATCCTCTCCAGGTGCTTTACGAACCTTTAGGTCCTTAATGTGGAGTTGGAGCTCTGTTGGTGTGCAAAACGGAATCTCAGACGATTCCGTTGATGTGCTGTGCTGAGATTCATCTGAAGAGTCTTCTGAAAAGGAGTCACCGATGTTAGCACCGATGTTGGTATCGCCATTCGCCCTGAAGTATCTCCTGACAGATCTTACAATTTGTCGTTCCTCGTCAAGGTCATTGTCCAGATCATAATTGGGAGAGAATTGCCTTTCCATGACGTCAGTGAAAAACTCCACTTTATCCACAGTCCTAAAAACTATGCCTCCAGGATCATGAATATGTGGTAGTTGTTCTTGCCTTCCGTTTCTGAGTGATTTTGCCACTTGCCAGAGAGGAATACTTGATTCAAGCATCCCCGCCAGAAAGCCGCTCCACTGCTCATTGCGGAATTCATGGAATGCATTTCTCACTTCATGGACGAGATTCGTCCCTCTACGAATGTCATCAGGATGACGAGACCTTTTTGCTTGCTGAATCGCAGCCCTCTTTTCAAAAATTTTTCGATGAATGTCAGCAGGGAGAAAAGGTCCGCCGTGTTGCTGCACCGGAAGCACAGCAGCACGCTGTAGAGTTTGGTGAACTGAACTTGTTCACTCCGATTGACCAGCATCAATTCCGTTCTCATCAGAAGCAATACTGAACCTACAGCTTTTAGATATTGCAAAGTCTATAACATCCGGTGCCTGAAGGTGATTGAAAGGATGGTGTGTAGGCTCTTCGGTGCTGTGAATAAGATACCCATTTCGCAACATATGGTTGTAAAGCCGAACCCCACAAGTAGAGTTAAGCCTTGAGTGCCATGATTGGTGTTTGCAGTTGTAGTCCCCTGCCGCAATAAGAGGGCCCGAACAGTCCAGAAGGACTTCCAAGTCCTCCTCTCGCAGCCTGGCATCGCACCTGACACACCCAGGTGACTTTCAACGGAATGCATCCCGCCATATTGACTACCACGGACGCCGCTTCAATGCTTTGCATCTCGGCGTTTGTGCTTCTTGATAGTCAATACCACATTTAACGAGAACTGTCAAGCCACCACCCCTACCATGCCATCTGTCAGCGCGTATAACATCATAATGTTTTCTGCAGCGGAGCTAGGTCTATACTATCATCCAATAAAGTTTGATGAAATTCCCGTTTTTTGAGAATATCCCTTAGGCCCAGACAATTCCAAAAAAGAATTTTGATAAATGCAGGTTGTCTATTGTACCATCCAATGGCTGCGGAAAGGTCGCCTGCAATGCCTGAGTGGCGCTAATCAGGTGACTTATTATTTGTTGAAGGGACCTAAGCGCAGTTGCTAGATCCACATTCTGCGTGTTCAAAGATTTCCAGATTTCACTTGGGGGTGAATCTGCAAGTGGGACTGTTAGCGGGATGCGCTCCTCCACAGTTCGCACACCTTCGCTCCTTTTGTCTTGCCTGGGGGCATAAATATGTCATGTGGTCGGAAGCACATTTTAAATATTTGGGAGGTGCTGTGCATTAAGACTGCGCATGACCATACCTTTGGCAGCGGTGAAACTGCCCAATAGGTCTAGAGTTCTTTTGAACTTCAACTCTGATTGCTAGACCCAGCAGCTCATGTTTATTGAACAGCTGCTGGGACTTTTCAATCTTCGACAGTATCACGACCACCAAAGGCATGGGTGCGCCGTCACTGCGTTTGAGTCGGATAATGTGGAGAGGAGTACATCTTCTTTGATCTCCTGTTCCGAAAACATTGCGGGAATACCTGTGACTACCGCGTGAATATTTCGTTCTGAAGGAAGAGGGAACGTATGATGGGGCACGTCCTCCTCCCAGAACTGCGCGTTCTATTTTAATGCCTAAGCTTATAAAGGTGTAGTTTAGACTTCGCCACTTGGCCGCAGCACGCAAAACAACGGGCGCGAGTGCTATGCTGGTCAACTCACCAGCATCGTGAGATTGTTGAGATAATGCACCGTCAGTCGATGCAGCGGCCAAAGATTGAGAATATGTGGTCGCTGCATCGACCGTCATAGGACAAGTGGCAGAAGAAGTTGATACGTTCAATGAAGCAGACGGTTTTGAGGGGACTGTCAGCTTGAATTTGGATTTTGCTTTTGGAAGAGGTGGGAAGTCATCCGTCTTGTCGGTTTTGTTCGTTTTATCGATGCGCCTTTTCCTAGACTAAATTTTCACGAGGTCTTTTTAAATTGACAGCCTTGTCAGATTTAAAATTAAAATTTGGATTATTGATTAACTGTGTTACCTGGGTGGTCAGGCAGTCTATTTTACTGTTTTGGTCCCTAACTCTCTCAGTCAGTTCCTTTATTTGCTGGGTCTGGCTTTCGATGATCAGGGTCAGGTGCTGGATGGTTCTGTCCTTTTCGTTTGCTACAGCTGGTGTCATCAATTCCTTTGATTTTATGGTAATTTCGGTTCTTTCCTTCTGGCTGGGTCCATTCATCATCAGGGACGCTTGGGGGATCATTACTTTGACCTCCAGAGTCTATCTCCATGTTTTTGAATCGGATTTTCTATTGAAATACTTGGAAGCTTTCACGAGCAAGAATATGACGTATTGCCAGTTATCCATTATACTGGGCGATACCATTTTGCTACTATGCCTCAGATCCCTGACCAATGGTTTGAAGGTAGATCTGTTACTATGTGTACAGTCTATCCCCGCGTTCGACCCTGTGGACTTTTTTCATACCGACCACGGTTAGTGCTTCCTCTGACAGCGAACCACTGGCTTCAATGTTTGTACTAGAGCAGATAACGGCATCTTTGAAAGGCAGAACGGCATAATGTCATCTTCAGAGACAAACTGCGATTGTGTCTATGTAAGCACGATGGCAGTAGAAGGGTAAGACGCGCGCCGCGTAGAACGGCGTAATATTGGATTTGCTCTTGAGGCATGTATACGGGAGGAATCGTTTGGAGTGCTTTTGCCTATGGTGGCCGATCACCCTTCTATTTGTTCAAGGCAATATGACTGCTGCGCGTTATGTCGATGTTGTCCTACAAACCACTTTACTGCCGTATCTAGACGGCCGTCCACACGCCCTTTTTCAGCAAGACAATGCACGTCCTCATATTGCTTGTCGACTTTCTTCTGAAGGAGGCGTTAATGTTTTGCCGTGGTCATCCCGTTCACCGGATTTAAATCTCATCGAACATGTGTGGGATATGACAGACTCAGCCACAGCTAATCCACGAAGTTCGTGTTGCTTGGAATAAGGTGCTACAACCAGACAACGATCATCTCATTTTGTCGATGCCTAGGAGTGTGTTCAGCTGCAGGGCCTCCCAACACAATATTATTTTTTTCTTATTATTTGTCAATAAAATTACATGAGAATGTTATCGTTTCATTCTTGATGTAAGACAACCTGATTGCCAAAAAATCAAACTGAAGAAATTATTTGTTCTGGGTGTAACACTTCTAATGTCACTAAGTATACATATGTTTGCTAGAATGTTGCTGACGAAGAAAGGTCGGTTTTATTAGATACAGAAAAAGTATTATTCAGTATTTAATATTTTCGCGCCATCTAGTGGGTGTGAAGGAACTTTCGTGAAGAGCTATTACTTCTTGAAACAAGATTTCGTGCTTCCCCCACGAATTTATCATCTAGATGTTTTTGTGACTGTCTTCTGCATTGTTCAACACGTTTATTTTATTAATAGTGAAAATGGCAAGTATATCTAATAATTGTAGCTTTGTTTCTTGTAACCTTTTGAAAAATATTTGTGGTTTCCGTACGTGAAACCTTCGGAGTGAGCCTGTATGGTCACCAGGCTTTCTTGATGTTTTGTGATACTTACACATCACATATATCACATTTTCATTTGCCTGTCTACCTGAAGGCTGCACTGATAACGTTTAGAATAGGCAGGAAAACTGTATCATCTGACAAATGACACCAGACTGCTGGATTGGGTGATATGAACTTTGAGCAGTAAGGTACAATAAGTCTTACAAGCTAAGAAACCTTCGGGGACTTTGGTAGGACGGCTCCCACAGAGGAAAAAGTATCTTGACTTTTGAAAATCGGCGCAGTGAGCTGAGACAAGATAGCTTCAGATCTTTCACTTCGGATCTGATATCTTTTCAACTTTCTGATCTTTCTTGTTAGAGTAGTCATAGAATAGAAGAAATGAACTGTGTCGCCTGGAAGTCAGATATAAATAAAGATATAAATAAAATAAAGGAGTCACTGTCTAATTTATTATATGCCATTAATATGGTTTGTACTTTGTAAAAGGCCGTCGAGGCAGGCAAAACGTCACTAATCTAGTCCATTCAACATCTGTGGTTTTATTTGTTGGCCAGTGTGGACAATAATTATAAGTTGTAAGAACTTAAAGCAATGTTCACACCTATGCGCTTTACCTTTCACCTTTAAGATGAACTTGACCCTGATTTGACCTTGTAAAGATCATAACTGATTATGCTTTAGGTTTTTTACGTAAAACCCGTGCGGCACATCTATAAAACGTAAACAAAAACAATAAAATGTCATCTTGCAGACAAGGTAGTTTTTAGGGTGCAAATAGTTCATTCCACGTTTGCTCGCTGTGAGCATCCGTCTATGGAGAAGTGACTCAACTACTCACATTGTTGGTTGCATATGTTTTACTGAAGCCGAGAAGTCCGTAGTTTTCATCTCTGAGAAGATGTGTAACAAAGAAAGTTGGTTGAATAGCAGGATCGCATCTGAATGATTATACATATTGATCTGCATGTGTATAAAATCAGTAATATTTGCTGTGTGAGAAAATTATTCCTGAATATGTTGTCAATGAAGTGTACCTATTAGTTGACCCCTACGGGTTATTTACATTTCTGTAGAAAGATTATGTTCAAAGTTATACATTATGATTTTTCCCGTTCTTTGTGTATTTCATAAACTTTGAGGAGCACTACGAGAAATCGCCACCACACCCGCATTGTGCGCAATTAAGCCACATCACAGACAAATTAGTAGTGACGCATCACACATCAAACATTTTCGCAATGCCTCATATATAGGCGCTGATTTGTATTTTCTATTGACATTATTTCTATAAAATTCAAATGACTGGAAATGAAAAATAATGTAATAGCCTTTTCACTTTCACAGATATTTCTGTCTGTAGCATATCTTCTCACCTGTTCCTTCACCAACCAGGGATTTTCTTTTCTTATATCTCTCATTTTTGAAATTCAGCAAATTTGCATATGTAATTTCCAGAATGAATACGAAAAAGTAGATGCACAACTAATTTCTAGCTTTGAATCTCGAGTAAGTGTATTGGAGACAAGAATCCAATGGAATTATCATCAACACATACTATTAGAACAGAAATCCTCACTATATACCTATCCATTGCCGTTTCCTTCTAGCTATAGTATACAACTTACAGCTTAGACCTCCAGTAATGCCATCTCTGCAGGAAATTTAACACCAGATTAGAGCCAGACAGTGATAACTAAAGCATCACGACGTTTAGGCAACGCGTACAACAAAGCGAGTACACAAGTGCCCATCAGCTAGTGCTAACATCTTGTTGAAAAATCTACATAATGTCACAAAAAAACAATACAATGTCAAAAAAATCGTCAGTTTTCAAAATAAGTAATACCCGTGCTGTCTTTAAACACAAGGAAACAACCGTACATTTCTGTGCCGTTGAGAAGCGAACCGTCCTATTGAATTCTCGAACCACTCGGGCCAGATCTATTCGAGAACTGAAATCTAAAGCCAACTTGCCATTTAATTGATCTTATAAGGATCGTGGTCAGCAACAACGTGGTACCTCCCAAAACCTTCATGCACGGTGTTTTATTCAAATACTTCTTCCTGAAGACCGATTCTAGAAGGTCTTGGTCTAATAACTACAATAGGGACATGCAGCAGTTTTCCAAATCGGGCAAACTTTATCCCCCTTTTCCGCAGAAACTAATCATAGGATTGCTCTAGTCCCATTAGAATTTTTGTTTGAAAAGGTCAGAAATATGTCATACTGAACGTTTAGGACCCATTTTCCATATGTTTTACTGAATCAGTTTAATTGACTCCATTTCTGTATTTTTATGCCAACAATGTATTAACTGAATGCGAACAAAATCGATCCGGTTTGTGTTGCTATAGGAAGTGTACGTACGAACTACGAAGCAGCACTCCAATTTCCATATTTGATTTTATTGAACGTTGGCTATATATCTTCCACGACCTACCGCGATAATAGGTCGATGGGGGTTGTAATTCTATTATTAACGCCCCTATAAATCCATCGCAGAGGTCAATAAGTCTGAAAATAACCCAGGCGCCATCAGGCTGAAAGGTCACTCCGCTCCAACGTTGTACCAATAAATCCTGGTCTGTACAACAAAGGGTGCATGCGCTCGCCTTCTTTTCATCTTTTTGGAATTGCTGAATTCAATAATGCATTGATTTTAATGATGCTGCAATACCCATATAAACTAGTCGTAGTATTTCGTTATGCGGCGTGAGATGTTGACCTAGTAGAAAATTGTATCATCAAGGTTTTTGAAGGCAAATCATTGGTTTAACCCCTCGTACTTGAACAGATACTCGAATATCATAATTCCACCCTTTAGGTATATATCATATATTAAGTATGAACAAAAATAATGGTAAGTGGAACATTTAAACGTTTGTAATTTTTTAAGAATCACCCGAAACTGGTCACTCAGGTGAAGTTGATGGAAGAAGTATATAGGGCTTTTCAAAAAGGTACATCCCTAATTATTTTCTAATGGATCATCATATCAAGTTGAAATTCGGGATGATGGAAAGATGCCCAGACACTTTATTCTAACGTAAAAATAGCAATTAAAAAGTTGAATATCACCTTATAACACTTGTTTAAATAGAATGAGAGGTCACATGACAATTTGTTTCCTTATCAGTACTTTATAACTCCAGAATAAAAACTTTCAACCGTCTAAAATGACGGACTCACACTGAATCGACCATTACTCAACAATCATTCAATACCTTATAATATGTTATACATTAATCTTCTACCTTAGGATGAATCCATTTGAATGTAGATACAATAAATTATGGGATATTCGATTCATAAAGAATTACAGATTCCGTCAATTTTTTAAATACAGCGTTTCATATTTCATTTTCGTCAAAGAAAACTATAGCATTTTGATTATTGGTTGTTGAATTTTGAGCGATGCAATGTACAGAAACGATCAAACTTGACAGCCTTCCAGATCACCATTTTGCATGATAATAATGTTATATTTTAGTGTGTACAATACTCATACGGGGCTTTTAAAGCAATGTATTACCTGAACGCCAATTCCTATTAAAAAAACATTTCTTTTGTAGGTATTTATTGGTTTTTCTAATGAAATTTCCAATGTGTTGATTTTTTTTTAATAAATGTTTGTTTTTCAGTGTACTTGATTCTCTTTATTCGAATATATGAGCATATTTATCTGTAACTGCAATTTAAAAGGTCATGTTTTTAGATTTGCGGGTGCGGTATTACAGAATGTACCGTATACTCTACTTGACGAGTAGGTATTCATCACGCTTTAACGTCTACTAACGCGAATAGCTGATCAGCAAGTAAAGTTTTTGTGTTAGTCTGCAATGTAAGCACTGATAAATAGGGTGTAAATCTAGTAAAACTTGTACATAGCGTTTTGTTGTTTGTATGCAAATTGATATTTCTAAATAAAACGGCTTTTAGCAAGTACAAAAGGAATCTGTAGTGTACAAAAGATCAAAACAAAATATGGTTCTGTCTACCGGGCATTTCAGAATTATGTGTCCTTTGCGGGTATGGGGAATACTAGATAATCAGATGTCATTCTACCGTAATGGATACCCATGAGAAAGACTATATAAACAACTGACTTGTCATGTATACACACAGCTGCCGTCATAAGCCAGAGCGCAGTTATTGAAAAATGCGAATATGAGATATTGTCATTATGAAAGGCACGGAGAAGAAGCATATTTCGATAATGCAATACAGTGTGTCAAAATAAATACCGAAAATTTAATTTTTTTCACAAGTATATAGCATTTTTACGATTATCTTAAATTAGAATACAGTACCTGTACAACAATGAATTAAAACATGGTAAATATCCCGTACCTACTGTATTCTTGCTTAGAAACCATACAGGTACTTCACACCGAATTCATAACATTTTAAATTACCTCTCGTCCGTCATTCAGTATATTTGTGAGGATAGAGTGCAGCATATTTGTAATACTGCAGGTAACTTGGAATACTTAGTTATCTAAATAAATGTAAACGCCATATGTATTTTTTTGCCATAAATATAATGTCGTAAATCACATGAAACTACTATTACTAAGAACAGGACTCCATCTTGATATTTCCTGCTACCAGCCACACGGAAACGTGACGTCTACCTTGAACACTTTTTCGGTAAGAATGCAAAAATTAGTAATCATTTACGTCAAATCCTCACTAAAATTATTTGAACTGTTATGTGTCCTTGTTAGTTTACAATTTTATTTTGATTTTAAGAATGTATTTAGAATTAAAAATATGACATGGAATTTTATGTTAGGATGTCATGCTGTTAATTTGGAATACCGAAAGTGAACATAATTTGGAATATTCCAAGTTTACTGCACAAATTTATCGAACAGGTAATTTAGAAATGTCAACACCTTAGAATGAGAAAAGAAAGAGACGGGAAAAGTAGGAAATGTGCTTAATGTGCCAACTGTGGGTTCACGCTGATTGTAGTGGTTATGCGGTGTGTACTCCTATATCTGTGATCATTGTAATAATAGTTAAAAACACTAAACTATAAGCTTAGGCTAATTACTGATTTGTGATTATTGTGTCTAATAATTTGATAATTATAAGCTATTGTTTTGAGCAGATTAGTTACTAGAGTGTAAAACGGTTACAAAGTTAGGACATTTATTAGTTTCTAGAAAAAACTGTAAACAATTGTCAAAAAAGAAAGTGATTATAATATGGAATGAATGCTATATTCCAAATTACTTGCACCCTAAGTAAACTTACGCTTTTGAAGTTTTTTATTTTGATGAATATTTTGATGAAGTTACTGGTTTTGTTTTGTTTGATTGCTTATATCATCTAAATTGAATAATTTTCCAAAAATTTAATGCATGTTTTATTTCGCTATCTTAT